TCATCCAACAACACAGCCGGGAGAGCCGCTTTACCCCTTTTGGAACTATCAGGCTCCCTCTCCTCTCTTCTTCCTCCCAGCCTCCCTTTTTCGCGTAGGCTTTTGTCCTTTCACACACACCACACAATCACACACACACATCCACATCCACATATACTATCCTCCTTCTTTTTCATCCCTCTGGTGCTTTTTTTACTCTGATATTCACCTTCATTGCCAGCAGCTTGAGATAGATATCCCTTTCCTCCTTCTCTCGCTATCCCGAGCTGCCTCTTCATACATTACCCTCTCACTCTCTCTATATCTGACCAAATTTGGTAATCTATCACGATCCACTCACCTGCAATTCAAATTGGGTCCTACTTTTCAGGAATTCCATATACTGCCCAGTTCATCATGACAATGCCTCTTCGACCTCTACACTTCCTGTCTCGCGAAGATGGCACCCTTACGGCCCTGGTTGCCGTTGATGAACTGCCCCATTACGTCTCTATCAGAGGCGTCCCTCGCACTTTGAGCCACAGCGACACCCAGGGTATGACCAGCCTTGGAACCGTCAAGTCTCGTGGACAGTTCTACCTTATCGACAGTGCCATCCAGCACACGTCCAAGTCCGTGGGAGAAAAGACAAACAATCCTGGCCGCCAGGTGGTCACAGCAGCAGCACGCGGGCTCGAGGACTTCGGCCAGCTGGCGCCCGCCCCCCAAAACTCCACGGCAGATGCATCTGCAGCCCAGAACCCAGACTGGACTCCCGTTACCACAGGTGGTACTCAAACCTCTACAAAGCATGTACGTTGGTTTCTATATTCCTACAGCAAATGACGCTCCCTTGCATACCTTGTCAGGCTAACGCGAAATCAAATCATCCAGAGTTCCGGTCATCGCCACGGCAAAGGTGGTCAAAATGGCAATTCTGCCAAAAAAGAATACTGCTCTTTCTGGCTTCGACATGGAGAGTGTGACTATCAGCAGCAGGGTATGTCCAGTTTGGTGGGAGTTGCAATTATGATACCATAAAATTCTGACATATTAGCACAGGATGCATTTTCAAACACGAAATGCCTACGGATAAGCCCACGCTTGATAAGCTCGGGCTTAGAGATATCCCTCGCTGGTACCGTGAGAAACATGGAGTCAAGGGGCTCGGGGGCGCTGGTGGGCGAAATCGCCATGAAGGAAACGGACGCAACTGGCGTACTGAAAACCATCACCATAGCCATCATCATCTCCCAGCCGCTGCTGCAAACCCAGCCGATAGACGCGATGTTAATGGTCACCGGGTTATGACTACAGAGACTCAGGTGGAAAGGCCCAGAGCTACCCCTACACCCCCACAGCAGCCCAACCTTTCTGTCCTGCCTCATGGTCACCCAACCATGTACAACAACATACCCGGCACTATCCATGGGCCTCCTATGGGTTTATCTGCCCCGGTAGGTTTGAACATGAACATGCCAGCAAACAACCCGCCGCTTGAGGGCCCGAAATTTCCCAACCGATGTGATCTTATTTCCGTTGATGACTTCCGGAAAACACCTACCCCTGACCACACGGTGCAGGACGGAGCTAAACCTTCGCTTGGAAACTTCCCTGGCAATGGCAATAAGTCTCATGTTAAAATTGACCTTATGGACCAGCCATTCCCCACTGGTCCAGGACTACTACCAACTGTCCCAGCCACGAGCTCAAACAACGTACAAGGACAGAATACTGTATCTCACAACAACAATCTGATGCTTTCTCACAGCTATGCCCCTGCTTCTCTGCCACTTCCAGGGTCAACATCTCTTTGGACCATAACCGGGAATGAAGGGGATAACTGGAACTTGCTGCCCCTTACTCCCTTTTTGCCTGTTGCAGGGGCGCCTCCTGTTAACCAGCAGTCCAATGGCCAGGGAACTCAGATCAAGAAAAAGCCCCAACGCTCTCGTCGACTCTACCAGCGCAGACCATCTGTCGATGGCAACGATGGCACTGATGAGGAAAAGAACTTGCGGGCAACAAACATTCTCCCAATCAACACTGCTATAACTAACCTGGATTTCAAGGGCCCCGCATCAAGGGCAATCTCGCCTTGCTTTTCCTCCCATCCCCAGTCTGGCAGCTATGCTTCTTCCCCTTGCTCGCCCCGTTCTGGACTGACTACCAACCGTTTCCCTGACAACTTCGAATTTCGTGGAAATGGCAATCACAGATACGGGAGCCGTGGATCTCCAAACTCCACCCAATCGACTCAGACCAACCGAGGAATCAATTATGATTTGTTTGATCTTGGGCTAAACAACCCAATTACCATTACTGCCAAACACATCTAAGGCCATCCCATCCTATACATTTGTTTCATATATTCGACGGCAGCAAACACATGGCATCTCAAAAGGTCGTTGGCAATGCTTTTGGCCTTCGGCATCTTCATTTTTCATTTCTTCTTTTTTCTTTTCCTTCAAACCCAATGCCTTTGCCCATTCATTTGATTCTGCTCTATGTTCCCCCCCTTGCTTCCCTTCTTTTCATTTATGCCTTCATACAGAAATTGGCCTAATCTACCTTTCTGATCGTATAATTCGTGTACTGAACAACGTTCATACATTGGATTATATATGATTACCCTCTCCAGCGCCAAAGTTACTCTGCAGCCTTTTTCCTTATTGGTCTAAGGAATATGATCTCGCGTCCAACGGCAATAGGAAATTGTGCTGGATAAGCGAAACAAAGAGTATACCCTTCACGTTGGAAGATGGAATTCTGCTGCAGTTTGAATTAGTTTGCTGTGAAATTTGGTTGTTTGCTTGCTTTTCTACTTTCCTACCTTCCCCCCTTTAATCCCTTCACTGACACTTCACCTCAAGATATAAGAGCAATGGTACTGACGAATCCCTCCGTGCTCTCTGTTTGTCAGATAATCTTGGGACTTTGTTTTCTTATCCTTGGCTTGCTGTTTGTCTCCCCTTCGGTCTTTTTCTTTTTACGACTCATTGCTTCAAAGAGTGTAGGGGGCAACCCCATCCTGTACCAATACAAAAACCAGAACCCACCAGGTCCCAAGGAGTTATATGAATGACCTGTCTATTAAACAAGAGCAAAATAAATAGTGGTGTAATACATGTTGATATAAAATACAATACACGTAGAGGAAGTGTATATACCAAGTTCATGAAGCAGCCTGTGGGGGAAATGGAACTCCTTACCAGTTGCCAAATAACGATATAATTTTTCATTGATCACACGCAATCAGGCTTCAATTTCTCCCCTTCGGCCCACGGGCTTTTGGCCCTTTCTTTACCGTAACTGTCTGTGCGGCAAGCTGGCCCATCGAGCCTAGGGCAGGAATCGTCTTCGCGGCCTGCGCAATAACTTCGTTCCCATCCACAATACCCTTTTTCGCCATTATATCCTCAATCTGATGCCTTGCTTCCGCTATCTGTTTCTGATTTTTCTCGCTCACTTTCCATGCTTCTGGGAATATGTATCTCTTCTTGGGTTTGTGATGGGGGAATGTCAATGGGATATCAGCGAATGAGTCGCCTTCCTTGGCCTCCTTAATAAGTGTGTTAACTAGGTCGCCGAGATATCGCTTATTCTGGGCACGGGTAGGGAATTTCTCGCAAGACATATGGATGATGTCTGAGTCTGGGTTGTAGCGCGGTCCAACAAGTTTCAGAAGGGTAATTCTTTGCTCTTCGGTGAGGTATTTCGGTGTAAGGTCTTTGGAGCATAGTTCAACGACTACTTTTGTTTCCGCGGGATGCGTTTCACCCAGGTAGGTAGTTTGTCGGAAACGGAGAATATGAGTTTGTGGCGGGAGTGTGAAGGGTTTTGCAAGAGCTGTAGTTTGTTAGTTTCATTATCCGTGGATTTCCAAGAACATCAGACACAAGGGGAGACATAGCATACCACTCAAAGAAGGCATATCCCAGGCTGCGATACGCGCATATTCTCTGAGCTCACGGTGTTCCTCGAGCTCTGTATGCGCCATGGATGTCATATCATCCTCGCCAAACACATCATCACCGTCCTCTACCTGCGTCATGAGGTCGTCCTTCTCACCCTCACTCCAGAAGCCGGTCCTATATCTCGGTGGCGTAGGGACAACATCTCGTACTTGCTTTCGCAGTTCCCGGATGCTACTGCGGATTTCTTGTTTGATTTCCCGTTGCAGGTCAGGTGGAATTGCGGTATCAAGTGCTGCACTACTAGATCCTTGAGTTTCACTCCCCGGAGCTAGCTGTGTAGAAGCAGCAGAAAACGGCTGGTGTCTCTGCTGGTTGAATGTTGAGCATGGCTGGTGCGTCTGTAGGAACGTAGTGCGCCTCGAGGCAGCTTGTCTGGGGCACGACAATGCTAATCGGCTGAAAGATCTCGCCACTGGAGCCATTTCCAGCAGCAATTGGACACGTACACGAAGGAAATTAGGTGGTCGTGCAGGCTGTTGGGTCTTCTGCGATCTCTCTCTCTCTCTCTCTCTCTGTTCACTTTGCTCGCATCTTCAAAGTTCAACTTTTTTGCTTGCCGCGACAGGAAAGTTTGATATTCGGAGATACTATTTCTCCTAATTCCGGTATGTCGATTAGGTAAGCCGGAAGTCGAAGGCAGTTGTGACTTCGACGACGATGATGAATGGCGACGAGGACGGTGATGACAAGCAGACAGAGGGTGGCTTTGAGGTGAAGGGTTATAGAGAGAAGCAGGTTGGATGCTTTTCCCTGAGAGGCTTTTGGTCCGCGGCGGAAGATGCCATCCTCACTCTTCTACCTAGCCTGCTGAGAAAAACCTACATAAACAGCTTATATTGATTGAATACCAACATGGCACAGAGGAGAGGAGAGCAGCCAGGGAGCCAGCCAAAGAAGACATGTTTTGTCACAGTAGGTGCTACGGCATCTTTTAACGCCATGATTCGAGAGATCCTGCATCTGGATTTTCTAGCGGCTCTCAAGGCAAACAATTACACCACTCTAACCATCCAGTACGGCCGGCATGGAGATGAACTATTCCGCTCGTTCGTCAAGGACAATGAAAATGAAGTACTTCATAATTATGGGCTGACCCTGACGGGCTTTGACTTCGATATAAATGGCCTCAAGGATGAGATGTGCGCTGCCAAAGCAAATCCAAGCACAAACACGGCCGAGGGTCTTGTCATCAGCCATGCAGGTAAACTAGACCAGCTGTGACATCGATTATTAGCTGTCCAAATATGTAAAGACTGATTATTTTCCTGAATACTGTAGGTTCTGGGACTATATTGGAGGCGCTGAGGCTTGGTCTGCCTCTCGTGGTGGTGCCAAATCCAGCATTGATGCACAACCATCAGGCAGAGCTAGCAACGGAGTTAGCTTCCGCAAACTATGTAGTCCACGGGAAGCTTGGGTATTGATCCTCCTTGAAAATTGGCCTTGAAATGGCAGCTCTAACATTGTACATAGGAGTCTTGCCGCTGCTCTCCATGACGCAGAGAAGCTCCGCGAAAAGGTCCATTCATGGCCTCCCAAGCGTACAGGTACAGACTCTAAGGGGTTAGCTTGGGTGATGGAAGATGAGCTTGGATTCCTCGATTAAAGTGATCGGTTGGAAGTCTCCCTTGATTGATTTAAATGGGCTAGTTATCTTCAAAAACGTGCCCATGGAGGAATATTTTAACATTATCGAGTCGGATTCTGATGCCCCTGAATCGGCTGGCATCTTGATCGTTTTTGCATTATATACTCTGGATTCATCGCTCAATGCCGCTTTTTCTCGTACCCCATGTGATATATACAATGTAAACAACAGGCTCGAGTTCTCTAAAGCCGCCTTTCATCATGTCGACAGTGTAGTCCGCAGTTAGAAAAAGGGCCCCGGAAAGCCGCAGCCAGCTGGCGGGCGCCGAAGCCAAGAAAAGCCCTAAGGTCGAGCTCCCCCTGGTGCCAGAAAAACGAAATGTTTACGACTCCAGCAGTTTGACTTAATTTTTGACACTTGACCACCAACACCTGCTGAATATAGTCCCTCGTCCACTGGTATTCTAGATTGCTTGCATCATTCTAGAAGTGATAGTACGATACCAACAGCTCTTTTCGTTCCCCGAGGTAGTCGATATCTTAAACCAGACGCGAACCCAAAACGCAGCTGCAGACAACAATAAATAATCGCGAACAGCCGTCTCCCTTCCTCCCTCCTCTACCATGGCAGACACGGCTCTGCACAATGCCCCGATAGTGTTAGACAATGGCAGTGGTACGATTCGCGCCGGATTTGCGGGCGAAGACCTCCCTAAGTGCTACTTCCCATCGTTCGTCGGCCGGCCAAAACACCCCCGAGTACTCGCCGGAGCTCTAGAAGGAGACGTGTTTATCGGGCAGAGGGCACAGGAGCTACGCGGACTGCTGAAGATCAGATACCCCCTCGAACACGGCATTGTCACTGATTGGGATGACATGGAAAAAATATGGCAATGGGTGTACGAAGGGGAATTGAAGACATTAAGTGAAGAGCACCCGGTGCTTTTGACGGAGCCGCCATTAAACCCTCGAACGAACCGAGATACCGCTGCACAGATCCTTTTTGAGCAGTTCAACATCCCCGCCCTATATACATCAATCCAGGCTGTGCTGTCGCTATATGCTTCGGGACGAACAACGGGAATTGTGCTCGATTCGGGAGATGGAGTGTCCCATGCGGTCCCCGTGTATGAAGGATTTGCCATGCCGAGCAGTATACGAAGGATAGACGTTGCTGGCCGTGATGTAACCGAATATCTACAGTTGCTTTTGCGAAAGAGCGGATATGTCTTTCATACAAGTGCCGAAAAAGAGGTGGTGCGCATGATTAAAGAAAAGACCGGATATGTAGCCATGGACCCCCGCAAAGAAGAAAAGGAATGGTCAACGAATGGCGGAAAGGCGGACTCAAAGATGGCGGAATATGTTCTGCCAGACGGGCATAAGCTGAAGGTAATTCATCTCCTTTACATTGTTTCGTTGTTGTCGCCGTCGTGTGTTTATGACTTAAATGGCTGACCGACCGACTCACGTAAAGATCGGCGTTGAACGATTCCGAGCTCCTGAAATCCTCTTTGACCCCGAGATAATTGGCCTCGAGTATCCTGGTGTGCACCAGATTGTCGTAGATGCCATAAACAGGACAGACATGGACCTTCGTAAGTCCCTATTTGCCAACATAGTGCTGTCTGGCGGATCTACACTATGTAAAGGATTTGGCGACCGTCTTCTCCACGAGGTGCAGCGGTTAGCAGTCAAAGACATGAGGATTAAGATCTTTGCACCCCCTGAGAGAAAGTACAGTACCTGGATTGGCGGGAGTATTTTGGCTGGCCTAAGCACGTTCAGAAAGGTATGTCCCATGCTATGTCGCCTTTCCTCCCTTGCCAGCACACCATATGTCACCACGTAATGGCTGATACTTATTCTTATCCGGCAGATGTGGGTCAGCATTGATGACTGGCATGAAAACCCAGATATAATCCATACGAAATTCACTTGATATGTTGATCTTGCTGCTGTTTTCGTGAAACCTAGGAATGTGTTTGGAGCAGTTTTATTTCTCAATTTAATGATATCCCTGCGTCAATTCTTCCTCGCACGTACACACTCCCTGTTATCGCAGTTCGTTTAAGCCTGGTATTAACTGCATTTCTAGTGTGTTATATGTTGCTTCTATTCTTTTCTTAAAGATACCTATACCTTTTTTACTGACCATAGATGGCTATTGTCTGTTTCTTATTCTTTTTTCACATTATGAATCCGTCTGGTCGATCCTGTGTAAGATTGTGGCTCCAATGGTAAGACAGTGGGAGCATGGGAATGAAATCACGCATACACGCATACTTAGATACTTATACGTACACATCCTAGCAGAGACATTATTGGTTTAGAGACCCTACGGCAAATAATGACCTGGATTAGCTTTATACCAGCGCTATACAACTTGAGGTTGATTTCAAAGTGTCTAGAAAGAACATCAAGTCTAATTAATTGGTCTTTCCCATAGTCTCCTACCAGACATAGCAGTCGGTCGGTCGGAGATCGAATATATGTATTCTAAAATAGTAATGGACGCTTTTTAATCTTTCCCAAGTGGCTCGATGAAACATGCTCGGCCCAGGTCATATTATCAGGAGGTAGATTGTCATAAGTCGCTGCCCATCTAAGAGGCGCAATGTATGACATGAATCAGGTGTACAGAGGTGTGATGTGTGAGTTGATTCGTTTGGGGGGACGCATTGGTTGTTCGGAGCATGCCAAAAACATCGGAATGGTGGAAGGATAGTCAGTTCATCGGCCTGATAATTGTATATCGTCGTTGGCGGAGTAGGTTGTAGAAGAAAAAAAGGAAAGACTTGCGTCCCCGAAGGGAGAGAAGTAAAAAGAGGAAAGCCGTTGCTGGATGTTGCGGGGCGGTTGAAGAATGCTTTCAATCCAATAAGCAGTTGTTTTTGTTGTTTTGTTTCCCTCTCCTCAAGGCAAGGCAGGGTGGATCGTGAATGTCGTATCGGTCGTTAAAATAATTGTAAATGAAAGTAGAGGGTTAGGAAAGAAAGAGAGAGAAAAAAAGGGCTCAGATGGCGCTATGATATACAACGATGGCAAATCGGTGGGGATGCATATGATCGTAGGAAATGCAAGAAAGAGGAGAAGCTGGAGATGCCCATGTCGACATCGACCTTGACTGGCGTTTGGTCGCCAAGGGCGGGAACGACAGCCGGCGGTAGCGGGGATATGTAGGCAGAAGCCGTCCCCGGGTCACATAGATCACGATGGCATCCCTTTCAAGGCTCCGCGCCATGAATCTAAATTCCTTCGTGGCCAATCTTTGACCTTTCCGCTAGACGAGCTGCCATCTGACGAGCTTCCTACGCTTCCTGTGCCACACCGCTTCTTGGAGAGGTTCATGATAGGAGCGTCTGGGACGGCGGCGGCTGCCATGTTGCCAGCGCCTCCTCGGCCGATATGGAAGACAGGAGCGACATCCTTCTCGCGCTTCAATTGCTGCTCGAGCTCCTCATCGAAGCTAAAGATCGCGTACTCCGATGAGCTGTGGAAGTTGCCAAGCCCTCCGCGACCACCTGGGAGCAATTGTCGTGCATTAAATCCTAGACGGGAGGAGAGCGTGCGAGTGCTTGATATCGAGCTGGAGGGCGTTATGGCGCTGTTTTTGAGGGGGTGAAAATTCCCTGCTCCCCCGCGTCCAGAGTACATGGTATTTTCTTGGGCTGATAAGGGATTGAGATCAAGCATCCGATATGCCGGCATTGTGAAACCTTGGAAAGGCTTGTTGGGAGAAATTGGTTGAGCACGATTGTGTAGAATCCAGCAGGAACAGCTTCCTGTTATATGTGCAGGCAAACGAGAGAAGTAAAGGGGAAAGCAGTTTTTTATAGAAATATAAAGCACAAAATTAATTGCCCAAAAAAACAACAACAAAAGGTGTTGAGTTCGACAATAATTGTGCAATTACCCGCCACCAAGGTGTGCAGCAGCCTGTGGATTATAAGTAAGCCATTTGGGTTTCTGAAGGCAAGGATGATGAGACTCGAATTGCGAGACAAGAACGGCCAGAAAGGAGGTAAAGTTTGTTGTGCTGCGTCACAACGGCAAACAAGAAAGTTGTTTTGATGACGGTCGTTGGTTGGGGAATGACGATGGTAACTCTCAGGCGAGGTCCCGGATGGAATGGGATGGAGCGGTTCCAGCAACTTATGTATCTGTATCCGCAACTATGTTCCTGAAATTGCTCCGGAGTAAGTCCAGGAAAGGAGTGAACAAGGCCCCTGTCAGTCACGTCTTTTTTTCCATATATTCTTTTTTCTTTTCCTTTCCCATTTCCTGGCATGGGAGGGGAGGGCCTGGGCCCTTCGGGCTGGTCCTGCGGCTAGCTTGCAAGCACTTATGGTTGGAGAAATGGAGACCATTCATGGATCGAATGCCTGACGTTCCTTCATCGCATGGAATTGACAACTTGATCCCTGCACTCGCGAATTACCAGGCCCTGTAGCCACAGGTGGAAGTGAGGCTTCATTTAAAAAAGTCTTGTTACTCCCACGATTCAGAGTGTGTGCACAGATTGAGAATTGCTGTTGCATTTTGCATTCCCCCAACATTCCGGTCCTGGGCAGCAAGTTTCCTTTCGTCAGAGGCGCTTTCTGGCGATCGTGAGTGGATTAGGCCATCGCCAACCTGACACTAGTTCGGCCACTCGCGGCGCAGCGACGAGCATTGCAAGGGGGTCACCTGCGGGGCGAGTGTCCAGCATAAAGCAGCAAGCGAGCATCGTTGCTGCCTTTTCCTCCACGGCTCCGTCCACGCATAGGGCCATGGCCCAAGCTGGCTGAGAGGCCTCCGGTGAGTGGGCTGCAAGCACCTAGGCGCTAATACCGCTGAGCCAGCTCACGGCTCTTGCCTCCGAGTATGCCGGTAGACAACAAACGTAACCTTTGCGGACAGACCCGTCCCAACAGTGCTTTTCATGCCTTCTTCAAGAAAGCCCAAAAGGCTTGGAGTCGCTTGATCAGGCTAGGGCTCTGGCTCCTTTAGGGGATGTATTTTTCTCCATCACCTGATACAGCTGGGTGACCAGGACAGCGCCTCCTTGTGACTCCACCGCATCCAGTGTCTTCGAATCGCTGCTCCACGGTGGCTACCAGAAACTTCCAACAACTTGCTCATATTCGAAGCCATTCCTTTTTCTGGATTATCGAATACCCGCCCTCTTGCATTTACAAGAAAGGTTTCTTGTCACATTTTTTTCTGACTGGCTGCAGAGTGGAAAAATCCCATCACCCGAAGAGCCACACAAAATGCTCCGAATCCGATTCAAAGAAATCTTAATTCTCGCTGTCAAGAATAACTTCCATATTTATGCAGCTGACCTCTTTCACGTACGTGCTTCCTCTACATCCCAAAAATCCTCCGTAGGTGCGTTGATTCTGTAAAATTGACCCATGTATATACTCCATGCTCAGTATACGTGGTTATAGTATAGTATACTTAGTTAATCGCCGCCCGTGATGTTGCGTTGTTTGATTAATAGACGCTGGACGGAGTAAGAGGCTTGAGCACCTTGACAGCAACACTAATATAAGTATATGCTACGGAGTACGGTGAGAGAAATAATCAGACGTCCCCTAGCTGATCGTCAGTCCTTGGGTCAGAGCTGGAAGTCTACCTCGCGTACCTGCTGAATGGTCATGTAGGATCACGAAAAGAAGACGTTGAGAATTAATTCGTCAACTTCCGAACCGAGAAGTGCCAGCACCAGCTAATTACGCGGCTTGAGAGAAAAGAAAGAATGCTCACAAGGTGCACTCTCACAGACTGCGAGGATGATGTTGCTTCTTCATCGTCGTCTGCTTCAGCGGGGAAGGCCTGGGGTTCGGCTTGAAACCGACATCCCTCCCCAGTGTCTCTTCTCCAGCCCCAGATTTGGCGAGTGATCCAACAAGGGGAACCCTTCAGTATTGGGGGGCCCTTGCAAGATGGACCACAACTGGTGACACGACAGCTAGGGAGCTTTCCCTGGTTCTTCCTCGCATCAAACGCCGTGTTGAAACGGTTGTCGTTTTGTTGTCGCGATAGTTTTTATGTCTCCAGGGCTCCAGGGCTGTGAATGGATCACGTGTTAACTACACTAACTTTGAGGGGTTTAGCGTGGCATTTATTTTCATCCCTTGCCTGTAGCAAAAACCGAAGGGAAACGACGACTTTATAGACGTACGGAATACTGGTGCCATTATTGCAACATGATGAGACGAGGTTTGGACACTCACGATTGAATACTACGTATTCGCTTGCTTCAATTATCGTGAGGCAAGATCCAACGAGTTAGGAATGTGATTCAAGACATAATACCCACGAAAACTAACTTTGGCCTACATACTTCGATTCCCTCGTCAAGCAACCCCCTCCCCCAAAGGTGTCCCGTGTTAATCAAGCTACCCGAAAGGAGCCTATCAATCCTTAATAAGGTAGCGGACCGCTTCCTTGCGCATAAAAGAAGCGCTGAACGTTCCGATTCATACCGTCTCAGCTAGCTTTAGTACTGGTCTGATATCCTCTTCAACATCGTGCGAAAAAGCGGGAGCTGGGCTCCGAAATATGATCAGCCAAGCCAACCTTATTTAAACTACGATGAATAATACTGCATATTGGAGGCTATTCTGTTCACTCTGGGTCAGCAATTGATAGGGCTGGAACCATTATAGCATCCTCGCGCTGCTTGAAATTTGGGGTACTCACCCGTCTTCTACAACATGTTGGATTTCGGTATACGAAAGGATTGGACCTCAATAATTAGAGCTAGTTGAAATCAGTATTTAGAGGAAGCCTACGGAAAAACATCCTCCAACTCAAAACGTGCCAGTTAAGCACGTACGTGGGGGTTACGACACCCCACGGAGAGATGTCATAGAGAGGCATAGGGTAACATTCTATATAGTCATATGCATAACGACATGCAATACCATGAGCTTTTGGTTCATGCCTATTTCTATCGCGGCCGGCCCGACATGCATCTTCCATCGGGCCCATATCCAATGCCGACGATGTAACCTTAATGGACTCTATTGTGTGCAGAACTTCCAGCGCCATGTAGTGGCCGTGCACTTTATCCGGCCAGTCTCTTCCAGATATTTACAGGGAGGTGAATAAGCCGAATATATGCAGAGTCTGCTGAGTATTGTATCTGCTTTACATTCATTGCTAGACATTAGTCTTACTCTCCAGATCCCGGGTCTACCGCCTGTGGTCTCTATAATCCGTCGAATACCTCGTAGTTTAGTATCGTGTCAATGCTGCTCTTTGTTGCGTACATCCGGATCATGAGTTTGGTGTAAAACGTATGCTTTTGACATAACTAGTTGCTTCCAAGGCTCCAAGTTCTTCCTGTATTTATCCGTCAATGCGTAGGCGTGAAGTCCAACAAAACTAGAAACCAAGGGGTAGAATAACCTCTAGTCGCCTAGACACTCCGTATAATGTTCTACGCTTCCAATTCATATAACTGAAACAGATACAGTTTGAGTCAGGCTTACGACCAGGCGGAATCAATGGCAATTACAGTGAGTTTTAGGTACTTTAGAACAACTTCTATGCCGCATGGCGCGAGAACCGCCGCCCCCACAACTGCTAACTCCCACACACCGGGTTAGTAAAGGATATAGCTATGCGGTCGTTGTAAGATCTGGGGTAAATAACCCGTCTACATTCTGTTTCTTCGTTGCTTAATGTGGTTGTCATTAGTCATTATAGTTTTACAATACTGCCAGGTCGGAATTAATCTCGGCGGTTGCGTTTCTTGGAGCCCGTGCTTTACTATTTCTATCTTTACATTTGACGTAGAGTCAAAGGACAGGTAAGAAAATGAACTATGTTCTCGAAGCAACTATAGTTGACCATGTAAGTCCCATAGGTTTCCTCATAATACCACCCATCCTCGTACCTAGAATGATAGCAACCCGGTTCAGTTCTCTTCACTCTCATTATTCCCATTTCTTTGGCATCATGATGTCATCCCAATAGTCCAAAATATCCTCATTTGGAAGATCTTGTGCCGTCATAATACCTGTGAAACTTGAGCAGAACTCCTTGATGTCCCATATATGATCCACCTTTCATTGTAGGCTGAAATATTTCACATAGTGCAGAGTACTCCGTATTATTTTACAAAAACTACCACGGGGTATCAATTCCAGTTGTGATCCAGGAGAAGATCAAACTCCTGGAAAGATTTCATACTTCGTACGGAGTACGCAGCATAGCAGAGGGTATTAAAATTTCCTGGCCAATTTTTACCGATCTCCAAGGTATTTCCTGTTTGCTTAGTAAATTGTTCATCCTCTCCCATATCTGCAAGTCTGGTTATCGTTCTCCGTTAGCTTGGGTGCACGCCTGCTATTGGGACAGACAGTCCAGGAAAGGTGTGAGAGGGACTTAGTAACGAGACCACGAAACTAGTTATTCTTGTCCTTTGCTTTTGTGTTCTATTCACAAACCCGATATGGGCCATATAATCTCCTTCTGGAGAAGCAAAAGACGAAACCCAGCCAACCACTGGAAGACCCAAAATTGGGAAGATGAAGTTCGAGTGTCGATTTTCAAGGGATGTGTTGACTTGGCCGCATCCGGTTAGCGCGCGGCTTTAAGATGCGTCCCGTCCCGCCAACCCCGTGCCAGGGATTCATCCACAGCGAGCCAGCTAGTTAAATCTTACTGCACCTTGACCTTCACAGCAAGAAGGAAGCTTCTTGTCGTGCAAA